GTAACATCTTCAGCAGAGTTTAGGGGATGTCAGTGTCTTTAGTGTCACTGTGTCACTGAAACTGTCATCCCCTAAACTGGACTTTCACCCTCATATGTGGTATTTCTGTCATATGGTTTAGATATTTCAATGGTGGTTGCACAATTGTAAGGTTCATTAGGATTTATAAAATTTTGACCCATTTAGACCAATAGTTCAGAGCTTTTCTTTTAAGAAAGGCTTTTAATCTTTATACCCAGAATGGATAGGCTTATATCACATCTAGTGATTATGTCAGATTGTGATCTTGAAAATTATTGCTATACTTTTTATCATTGTTTGACCTTGTACTGAAAGAATAATAAAACTTATTTTTTCTCCAGTTTCAGAATGTGAATGAATTACATTCTATGTCATCTAAATTTAGTAAGCCTACACTTATTCTACATGATTTATGCCAAGAATGGAGAAAGTAAAAAAAAGAACCTTTAGAAATGAATTGCATCATTATGAGTTTCATAGCATATTTTATAGTGGAAGTATTGTACAATACACCTCTCATACATGGAAAGTATTTTAATAACAAGTGTCCGAGGGCCATTAACTGTGTTTATTTGATTATGTCAAGGTCATTGTTGACTCTTAGCAACTGTAAGTAGATGTTCTCAATGAAGATATGTCCCTAACCTCATATTTCAATAGTGCACTCATCCTCATGCTTCTTGGTATATAGTTTATCCAAGAAGCTAGCCTTTATTTCAGCTACAAATAATGGTTTATAGATATTATTTAGATTCAACAAAACCTTTCCTGCATAATTGGCCTTTTTTGTACTGGTAGATAACTAGTTGTCCAGGAAACTATTATTCAGCTCAAGGAACTGTAGAAACCAAGTGAAATGTGAGGAATTATATTAAGTATGTATGAGTAAAATCTGTGCAGAAATATTAATATATATTGGTAAGACTGAACGCTGGGATTGTCATGAATTCAAAGAATTCAGAATTGTTTAGGATTAAATGAATGGCTTACCTTTTTCTACTGAAATGAACAAATGAGGAAAGTAATCAGTTGTGTAACAGTTTTGTTTTTCTTTTAGGGATTCAAGATTTTCCAGAAAATATAAAGTGCTGTAAGTGTTTAACAATAATTGAAGCAAGTGTCAATCCTATTTCTAAGTAAGTTCCTCAGTGGATTTTTTTCTTTGCCTCTTTTATGTATGCAAGGTTTAACATATAACAACAGTAATAATAACAATAACAATAATAGAGTTGGAAGGGACCTTGGAGGTCTTCTAGTCCAACCCCTGCTCAGGCAGGAAACCCTATACCATTTCAAACAAATAGTTGTCCAATCTCTTCTTAAAAACTTCCAGTGTTGGATAGTTGACACTATTTCTTAACAGCTGGTTTTGTTCTTCAATTGCATCTCTTTTAATACTTGTTATGAAGCATCTGTGACAAGATCTACAGCATCATCCATAATAGGCTTTAGAATGGCATCGAAGTGATGATACTGGTAAAATTAGATATAACAATAAAAATAAGTCCAGTGAGTTGAGCTTGATTTGTGGAGACTTCATGTCTAAATCCATGTAATTTTCTTGAGAACAGTATGCAAGTGGTTTATTCCTTTGAGATATTTTTTTTTCAGCTTTCCAATCCAACCTATAACCCTGGTATAAATTAGTAGTCCCCTGCCCAGAGTCAATTCTCCTTGGGCTTTTCAATTGGATAAGTGCTGCCACCTAGCTGGGCTGTATGTAGCAGTAAGGAGTGTGACACTGAGGGAATGAATACATTGGCTAACGCTGTAGTTTATAACACTGTCATGAAAAGTACACCTGTGGAATACACTTGAGCTTTGCTCCAGTTAGAACTCAGGATTAAAGAACTTTCTATAAAAAAATTGAATGGATAAATCATAGCGTGTACTTTTTCTGGACAGGCTGTGAACAAAGATTACCCCAAGAACAGTGATAAGTTGTAATATTTGTTGAAAAATAGTTGCCATTCCCTTGATTACAAAGAAATATAGACTGCAAGACAGCAATGGTTACTTTAAAAAGATGTAATTCACCTATGATATGACATAAAACTGGGAAATGAGAACAATCATAGATCTAACTAAAGAGCTGTGGTTTATAGTACTTACTATATTGTTTGGGAATTATTTACGTTCTTTTGTGTTCATCTTACTTGGTTTATTTATGGTTTTGTTAATAAATTATGCATTAAAAATACTCATGGAATGAAGTTAAGATGCCTTAAATGTTTTTCTGTAAATTAACTGAAATTATCAATATTTTAGATGAAATATATCAAACCTCTCCCCTTATGCACGAATTAATGGTCTTGATCTTTGCCCTCTGTTTAATTTAAACCCTACAATATTGATTTATTAATTCTTCCATGCAGTTTTATTTTCTCTATAGTTTTTGATTGAGTATTTCAATTTTGGCAATGCAAATAAGGTACAGCATGTATTCTTATAAATAATAATATTTATGGTTATTTTAGAATGATAAATAGCAACATATTTTCCATAGCAGTAATCAGTCAACATAAACGTTCATGCACATAATGTTACTGGTTCCAGTTGCTGTAAAAAGTAGATCATCTACTTATTTTGAAATTTAATTCACGTGAAGTGCTTACATACACTTGATCTTAGCCAAAAGGCTGGGAAGCATAGATATAGACAGAAAAAGAAAAAGAAATTATCCAATGCTGCAGTACACTGTGTTACTTGTTTTATAACAGGCAAAATATTACCTCTAACAAATAGGTCAGCCAGTGAGCATGTGGTTGAAGTTATATGGATCTATTGAGACTTAAATTTCGAGATTTCCTACGCCATTAATGCTAAATATTTTACTCATTTTTTTAAGGCTCCCAGATGGTTTCACACAGCTTTTAAATTTGGCCCAGCTATATCTAAATGATGCCTTTCTGGAATTTCTTCCTGCTAACTTTGGAAGGTAAGTTTTACATATGTGAATTCCCTCTAATCTTGACTAGAAAAAGAAAGGATTTTAGATTACAGAAAATATGATTACAAATTTAAAGAGCTGCAGACTAAGAATAGACTGTTTAATGCCAATGGATCTTCATTGTTTTTCAGAAATAGAACTGTGATTTAATAAGTTTTTCTTTGAAATAACTGCTTTGTAGGCTTGTGGAAAGAAATCTGTCCCAATACAGGAAAACTCAGAATAGAAACAATGACTAGTGGCATACACATTTAACATAAGACAGTTGTTCAATCTGTAGATGTAAATATAGAATCATATTCCAATACTTCATACTCAATTGGAGTATCTGCCCTAGTGGATTGTACAACTAATTGTTGGATTATAATTGTGTTAGGAAATAATTTTTATACTAGTGACAAAGTAATACCATGTTTCTCCGAAAATAAGACCCAGTCTTATATTTTTTTGCCTCCAAAAGAGGCATTAGGTCTTACTTTCGGGGATATCTCATTTTCTTCATGTACAGGAAGCGATGGGAGTGGGGGCTGATGGGAGTGGGAACAGCCTCCGTCCGCTCTGCATGTGGCCCTGCTGTGGCTAGGACACTTCTTGGCTGCAGCGGACACCATGCTGGCCACTGAGCAGCTGCTCATGCTGCTGCTGGACTTGTAGGGGTTCTCAAGCACCCTGCCTGTGCATGGGAGGGGGTGTGCAGTGCGACTCGGCGTAGCAGTGGGTTTGGCAACGTGGGTAAAGCGCCACCCCAAGCTTGGCCTGGACCCGCCTCTTGTTCCCTCCAGGCTGATCATGTAAAGAGAAAAAAAGGGGGGGAAAGAAAGAGATTTTTTTTGTATTTATTTTCATTTATCAACAAGAGTAAAATGCAAAACAGAAAAACATCCAACATTTACAAGAGTAAAATGCAAAACAGAAAAACATCCAAAAAAAATAAGGAAAACATTCTTTGTGTACAAAAAAAGTGGGGCAAATGTCGAATACATGTAATTCCCCAGATACGAACGTTTATTTAATGAATTTTCACAAAAATAAATTAATTCGGAAAGGATACTTACGTAAAAATGCTAGCCAGCCTCCTCACAAAGCATTCTATAACATTATGTTTCCTTGTTTTATTTTGGAGATTAGCATATATTACTGTACTTTCAAATTTAAATTGCCTCCAGAAGTTGTGGATTCTCCATTACTGAACGCTTTTAAGAAAAGACTGGATAGGCATTTATCAGAAATATCTCTTGTGAGAGCAGTGGGTTAGACTAGATCAATGGTGGCGAACCTATGGCACGCATGCCAGAGAGGGCACTCGGAGCCCTCTCTGTGGGCCGTGCGCCGTCACCCCAGCCCCGCCTTCCCCCACGGCCCCCTCCTCATCAGCACCCCCTGGAGGAGAGTCTGCCTCGGACGTGGCCTGCACGGAGCAGCGCAGCCAAGGACATAGCTAGGCAGCAGGGACAAGACTCCGCCCTCGCGCTCCATAGCATGCAGATGATGCTCCAGGGTGTGGGTGGAGGGTGTGGCTGCCATGGCATTGCAGGACTGCCTGGGCGATCTGCTGCAGCGGGCCATGGAGGCGGTGCGTGCCCTGTGGAGAGGCGGGGCAGGGGGCGAAGCAGGCAGGACGGGAGGCAGAGCGGGGCCAGGGGGTGGTTTTGGGGCACTCGGTCTCTAAAAGGTTCACCATCACTGGACTAGATGATGTCAAGATCCCTTCCATCTCAGTTATTTTTGCAAGCCAACAGTTCTGTACATCCCATCCCCAGCTGCCTCTGGATGCTTGGCTGGAAATGCTTAAGCTAGTAGCAAGTGTTTTTTTTTAAACAGTCGGAGAGTTCTGTAAACCCAACCCCCTCTGAAGAAGCTTGAGCTGCATAGCAACAAACAGTTTTTTAAAAAAGCATTGCAAAGTGAGAGCCTGCTGCCTGCTTGAAAGGCAATTTAGTTCCTGAAACCAGAAAGAGCTGATAGGCAGCCAGCAGCAAGAGTGAGAAAAAGCTCTCAGTTCAGGCAGCCATTGGAGGAAATAGTAAGTCAGATCTTCATTTAATGACCCATTTGATTGAATTAATGAATTTTTTTTAAAAAAAATTGTAAAATTGAGTCTGATTCATTTGATGAATATTTTGACTTATGAGCCTAATGTGCAGGCTCCATTAGATTCATACTTCAGGAAATACCTGTATATCTGTCTTAAGCATAAATAATCCACCCTGGCTAGATGTTAAATTTTGTAAAAATGATATGTTCTCCAACCCTTATATAACAGGTCTACAAATAATTATGAACTATCCCATCCGAGAGAATTTTTTTTTTAAAAAGACCATAATAAATTAAAAATATAGGGAAACTGATAATCATCTAAAATGGCAAAGACATTTGGAATTTACAAGCATCACAAATAATAGTTTCTGTTTAGTGTTTCAGCAACATAGGAACAAATCCTTTGCTTGCATATTCCTTTGTTTGCACTTTCTATTTAATCCACTTTTGATGTATAGCAAATCATAATTTGCTTTTATATCTGGTTTTCGCTATCCTACAGATTTTGGTCAATTTTTGACCTATAGTCATGGATGGCAGAGCAAACAACCTTTGCATGAGTACTATTTCCTTACTCTTTCCCCAAAATAGTTATATAATTACTTTTATTTCACAGGAGAAGGAGTTATCTACAGTAACATGAACGCTCAATTTCCCTCTATTACATGAGACAACATAATTAAGATTATCGATGACTCTTGCTAATTTCAAGTACTTATTTAATTAAATATATCATACAAACAGAACCAAGTTCTGATTAATATAAAATCTATGTTGAGATCCTTGTTATTTCTTGGTTTCAAATTTCAGGCATCTTTTTGAGATACTTAATTAGAAGGAATAACCAGTATTGGGGGGGGATCTTCATGGAATAGCGATAAAAAATTATATGGATGTTCCTGTTAATCACATAGTTTAATTTATGGTTTAATTTATTATGCAAATATGCGCATTGAACAGGAAAACTGGTTTGCTATATACTAGAAAGCAGTTAAGATCTTACAAGAGAAGAAGTTTGTGAAAGCCAAAATCTTAGTCATGTTGACTTGCCTCAACTTTTAACCCCTACATTGCTGCATATTAAGGTTTTGTCCTTCCAGAAAGAAAGGAGAATATGTGTGTAGTATATGTGTGTAGAATTATGAAAAGTATATATGTTACAGTAAACATAATTGTATTCATAACTATTGGAAAACAGTAGTTGTTATGATTTACTCATGTCCATACAGGACTATAAATACTGTGCACTCCTTCAACTTTGCTTAAGCTTTCTTCTAAAAATATTTGAATACACTGAGACTAATGGCCATTTGTTGAGCTAGTAAGTGGGAGAAAGCTGGTCATGAAATGCCGAACCTCTTGTTCTTGCCTATATAAATAACATTTAGAACCTGAACTTGACAACAGTTAATGGGTCTTTTTTACTGATTCCTACTCCCATTTTCTGTGTTTCCTTCTTGACAAAGTGATCTGAATTAACTGGCTCTGAAATCCAACTCCCAGTGCTTATTTGCGTCAATAATTCTTCAGTCTAGATCATTTCAGATTTTAAAGACTGCAGTTTGAAAATAAACCTTTGCCTCAAAATGTCCTGACAGAGTCATTTCAGATCTTAGTTAATATAGCAATAGCAATAGCACTTAGGCTTATATACCGCTTCAGTGCTTTACAGCCTTCTCTAAGCAGTTTACGGAGTCAGCATGTTGCCTCCAAAAATCTAGGTCCTCATTTTACCAACTTCGGAAGGATGGAAGGCTGAGCCAACCTTAAGCCGCTGAGAATCAAACTGCTGGCAGTCGGCAGAATTAGCTTGCAATACTGCATTCTAACTACTGTGCCACCACGGCTCTATATAATTCAAATATAATTTGAAGCTGAACACAAATAGGAAGACTATGTCCCTTCTCTTTTCTTTTCCCTTCTTTAATGCTTATATCTGGCTTAATCAATACATTTGAAAGAAGTTTACTAACTTCTGGCTTTAATCACAGTATGTAGTTGTTTTAACATTACAATTTGCAAACTGACATGTCCCTTGAGACAGTATACTTGTTTAATTGAATAGATTGGTTAGTCTAAAACTGGGCACCTTAGCCCAGGCATTGGGATCACTTGATTGGAAACGGTATAAATAAAGTCATATACTTCAGTGGCCCCCAACCTTTTGGGCACCAGGGACCAGTTCTGTGGAGAAAGGTTTTTCTGTGGACCGGAGGGGGTGTGGTTTTGTGTTCTGCCCGCATCCTGCATATGGGGCTTTGCTTGTTTGCGTGACCCAATTGCCAGAATGCCACGGACCGGTGCCAGTCCACGGACCGGGAGTTGGGGACCCCTGATTTACTTGATCATTTCATAATAATTGTTTCCAATACATGCAATCTCATATTTGTATGAGAATAGGTTATGTCAGATACTTCACAAAAAAAGCAGGGAAAGCAAGCAGAAATATAATGTGCAAGGTGAAGAATTACACCTATACATAATTTATGAGCTGTACATATCTCCTGCAGCTCACTGTTCTTAACTACAGTTGAGGTGCTCCAAATGCACTTTGCCTGTTTCAGAAAAAAATGGGAAGGTCAAACTGCAATTTGCTCACAGTTTTTTTTTTTTAACAAATGGATAAATATTGACTTGTCTTCTACTATAACAAAATGTGGTACATATCATTTTCCTTTTTGATATGTTATAATTTTGCATTCTTTCATTGTTGTCAGTTGATTACGTGCGTTAACATAAAAGCATCTATATAGCTTTAGATACATTGATGTTACAATTTTGGATCTTGTAATTTCATTATTTTAACATATCTTCTAGACTTAAGACAGCAAAATAGAAACTAAGCATGTTGCATTTTCACAAAAATCATTTCCTGTAAATAAGGGGGGGGGGGTTGTCCCACAATATGATTCTAATGTATTTTCGGATAAAATAAAAGCTTCTAAATTATAGATGGAAAAAAAGATATTTGGGGGATCTTTATTTAAAATATATGTATGTTAAAAATAGCAGTTAATATCTAAAGCTTTTACAGTTTGTTTACCCTGCAAATTGCCATATTGCATTTTCTTTTTAGCATTTTAAATACCTGATATCTCTATAACTCTTAATTAACCATCATGAGAGATGTTTGAAAACATTACATGTTTTATTCTCTCTAAAGACACTAAAGTTTACAGGACTAATAGCTCTCTATCAATGTCAAGGATTTGACATTTTCAAAAGAACTTTCTTTTATCTCCCATAGGATGTTTTTCTTCCTAAAATTCCTCTTTCCCAATTAACTTACAAAAATGCAATTAATTCATTTTTGTTAATGCTATAGAAAAATAAAAATAAATGTATACATGCTGAATCATGCTCATGGTATTTTGCATTTGCTCTGCCTTGAGTAAATCTCAAAAGTAGTAACTGATAGCAACCTACATTTATTGAAGCCTTTTGTACTTTTTCCCCTCTTTAATTGCTCCAATGGGGATCATCAAGATTTCCTGAAGAACATTGCCAGCAATCATAGATGATTAATGTCATCTAAGTTAACATTTTAGAGCTAGAAATATCTGCTGAATGTGGAGATTTAGCATATTTCCCTTGTAGATGAAATCAGAAATTAATTTAAACCTGTTAATTTCAGCTGCAGACATACAGTTATGATTGTCATTTGAGATTTTGCAGGTGCATAGGAATAATTAAATATACATGTGTGGCTTGCATTATTGGCAGTAGAATAATGAACTCTCTAGCAATTAATGAATTCCTACTCTAAATATTTTTTAATCTTTATTACTTCCAGACTTGTTAAATTACGAATATTGGAGTTACGAGAGAATCACTTGAAAACGCTGCCAAAGTAAGTGCCTTCATATTATAGCAAACAGAAATGTTCCAAGCACATAATTTATTCTTTACTAAATATTGTGCAGTATGGTTTTTTCTGGGCAATTCTCATTTCAAGTTGTGACTTATATCTTTCGGAGAATTATTCATTGGGATATTTATTTTAGTTAAATTTTTAAATGATAATCAAGTATTTAGAAAAAGCAAATAAATTTAAAAACAGAAGCTCATTTCGAGGTGCAGTAAATATATTTTTAAACAAAATGCAGTAACACATTTTATATAAGAGCTCATATACTGGATAGCACTATATTTTCATAGTGTCCCTAATGCAGAATTATCTATCTCAGCTGCCTGCTGACACAAAATCTTCCCACACCTAATGCTGTATTCAAATACTAGGACATTCCAGTCATCATGAATTTGTCACATGATGTATACTTTTGATTCTTCATTGACAAATAATGTTCTGTCAGTCTGTTAGCTTTGGTTAGTAATGATTCACAAACCCTCTCATTCCATTCTGATGCATATTTCTTGTCTTCCCCATCATGTTTGACATGCATAAGCAAGATGAAGGCTACCCTAACCAGGTTATTTCTTAATAATGACCAAAGGATTTCAGAAACTTGCTATGTCAAAATTTATTAAATGTCTTTATGCCTATTTTACAAGAATTCAGTATGCATTATACTTCTGCACCCCTATTAATATTTGCAATATATCTTGGGATACAAGAGTTTTATATAACCACCTATGAAGGTTATATTTATATAGACTATCAGGGCGTGTTGAAAGTTACCTTTTCTGCTGAAAGTATTATTTTTGTCAACGTTACCTCTGTTCCACAATCCCACATGATCTCTCAAAATATTGACCTTATTCTGTATAGCAGGTGTGTCAAACTGCTGGCCGCGGGCCGGTTTCATCATACCGAAGCCGTGCCCACCCTATTGCCGGCAATGCAAAAAGAGTCGCGATACATCGTGACACGTCATGTGACGTGGTGAGTTTGACACCCGTGCTCTATAGCATAGGAAAGGGGCAGTGAAAGCTGCAGAGGATAAGAGAAAGTTGAAAAGAAAAAACCCTTCCCATTTATTCCTCTGGATCAGTGAACTTTCCATTCATAGAAATAGTCAGTTGCATTGCAGCATTGCAGTCAGTCAGTGTCTACAAATTAATTAAGGTAAGTGAATTAATAAATAGGGAACATTTATAAAAGCTGAACAAAGTTATATCAGATAATGATAGGACAATTTTAAAACACTGTAAATATGAAAAAATAATATAATACTTCTTCCTCCTTCTGTTTTCCCCACAACAATCACAACCCTATGAGGGGGATTGGACTGAGTGAGTGAGTGACCCAAAGTGTTCACTGCCTTAAGTAATCTATAAAAAATAATAAAGGCAGTAATAAATAAAAATAAATAAACAGAATATGTTTTCCTGTTTTTATTTTTAATCATCAACAGTTGCCAAGATCCTATGAACATAATTAGGAATTGTATTTAAGTATAAATTTACCCACTCCTAAAAAAAACATTTTAGAATGTCTGCCCCATGTACATTACAAATGCAAATAAATTTTTTTTTAAAGAAATTAGAATGTTACCTCAGAGAAAATGAATATAGCTATGGCCGTGTCAAGTATGCCTTAAGTGTTAAAGCTGATAAAACGGTAATGGCTGAATTTTTGCTCTGAACTTTTTGGAACAATGAAGTGTCCTTTTTGTCTTTCTTTCCATCTTGAATTAGACCAGGCCTTAATAATGTATTTTGAAATTCAGATGATTGTACTAAGCATCCTTCTCATTTGGATATATTTATTTTGTTTTATCATAAAAGATAAAACGCAAAACAGAAAAACAAACAAACAAGCATCCCTTCTCCAAAGAGTGACATTGTGGTGGTATTATACCTCAAATATACTTGTTGGGCGGATGAACAAGAAATGTATCTAATAGAGAAAGACTGCAATTTAGTTGAGACAAGTCTCTTTTTACAAGGCTGCTGATATCATAAGCAGGGCAATTTGAAAAGACCCTCTCCCCATCCCATATCACTTGAATGCTATTGGAATAACCTGTTAATTGAAGACAGAGTTTCAGGTATCTGGTTGATCCTTAGTAATAACATTGCATTAATTATCTGATATGGATGAAAGGATTGATAGAAATTTGCTTCAACAAGCCTATACAGGAAGAAAAGGAAATAATCCTTTTAATAAGCACATGATTGCTACTCTTGAAAAACATTCTGATAGAGCAATTACTTGAAGAGAGGAAATGATATAGGAGGAAGATTAATAACTGCTACTTTTGTGCAAATAAGATGTCAATGTGGATATAGGTGGGAGTGTGTGAATATATATCTATATTTGATGTATGGCGGATATTATTACTAAACTTTAGTATCCTACTGTAGGCATCCATAGAAGAGAATACTTAGTTAACTCTGTAATATATATCCTTTACTAAGATGGGACATAAAATATTTATCTTGAAGTGGGGGCATTATTGCTATCATCATCATATGTCTCATTGATTGAGAGCCTTGTGTTTGTTCTTTCAAAACTTAGATTTAGTATATGCCATATGTAGACATAGTTTCAGGAACTGAGATGAACAAATATGTGTTATTTTTGCAGAACTGGTACCTTATTTCTTCATACAATCAAGTTTGGTTGAAATTTCCAAATACCTTACATATATCTGAGAACTGTGTTAATAGAGCAATTTTTTAAAAAAATAAAATAAAACAATAGATATTCTTGAATTGACAGTGTGGATTATTGCATGTGCTGGTTTGGAAAATATTTTTTATTAAAAATGAAGTTAAAAACTTGGTTGTATAGATTTAAAATTAGGCGAATATCTAAATAGTTTATATGGGTCTCTCAGATATCTGATTTGGAGATATTTTCATTTGGTGATAGCAGCATACAGAAAACATCACACAATCCCTTCGGTAGCATTGTCACTATTTTCATGCCAACTTAAATATTACCTGAATTTTATACTGAGATCTGAGATTACCGGTGGGTCGCAATTAGTTCAGGTATGAATCCAATGAATTGATTGTATTATTTTAATTTTCCCTATTCAAAGTGATGTTTCTATGGAAAATATGGTAATTGGTTCCAGCATAATTGAAATTTTAAACCATGAAATATTAAAGTAAAGGATGGAAACAATATACTTATAATTTAAATATATAATTTATAATTTAAACTTATGCTTAATAAAATCACTGTAATTATAGAAACCAAATAAAAACAAAAAAATATACCATAGATTCAGGGATTCCCACATCTAATTCTTTTAGAGTGTTGCTATGACTATGTCGTATGACTAATTGAATGTCATTCAATTATATCCATTTTTTGCTCTTATTAATCATGAGCATCTTTTATAAACTTGTGCTGTTTTCCTCTGACAGAATCTTCCATTTTACACAAACATAGATTAGCAATGTCTAATACCCCAATCTCATATGCACATGCACTAACCTCAATTGTGTTAACTGAATCTTGCAGCACATTAAACGTGACCCGGCATCTAAATCGAATATAACATTATTCAAACTTGCATTAATTGTGACCTACCTGTAAATGTTACACTGATTGAAGGTGCAGTGTAAATACAGAATCAAAGTGTGTAGCAAAGCACTAGTCTGTTTTGCTTAATAACATGGTAAAAAGCAACATAATATTTTGATTCAATGTTTGCCAACAAATTCAGGTGTCAGTATAAGATTTGAAAGTACTAAGCCAAAACAAGGATAATGATTTGTGTGATTATCTTTATTGATAGCAATCTCATTTGCTCTGTAACATACACTTAAAATTGGGGAAAGCAAATAAGTTCAAAATACTTCTTAGAGATGATGTATTATAATGCAAACTGTATTCCAATATGTAAAGATAAACATATGTTTTATGTACACTTGGAACATTGTTTTACCCAGCAAAACAATCGACTGTACTAATAATGGGGAAAAGGTCTTATAAAAGAACTGTAAAATTTATAAAAGAATAGGATACGTTACGGAAGGAGATGTTGAATTTTTTTTAAAAAAAA